CATCAATACCTACTTAGAGAACCTATACTCAGATAAAATGCAAAACACAGAAGAAATGGACAGATTTCTAGATACATGTGAACTTCCAAAGGTGAATGACGAACATATAAATGTACTAAGCACTCCAATTACGAGTGAAATTAAAAACAATTAAAAATTTACCAACAAAGGAAAACCTAGGTACTGATGATTCATGGCTGAATTCTACAAAACCTTAGGAGAACTATTGCCAGTACTTTTGAAATTTTTCAGTGAAATTGAAAGGGAAGCAAAACTTTCAAATTAATTCCTAGAATTAAGTGTTACTTTGATTCTAAAACCAGGGAAAGACCCAACCAATAAAGGCCAATCTCTCTAATGAACAAAGATGCAAAAATCCTCCCTAAATTACTGGCAGATGGAATAGAGAGGATCATTAAGTATATCACTTGCTCTGACCAAGTCAGATTTATCTCAGGGATGCAAGGATGTTTCCACATATGCAAATCAATAAATGTAATACACTATATTAACAGAGTAAAAGTCAAAAAACTTATGATCATCTCAATAGATGCAGAAAAAGCATTTGACAAAACTCAACACCCATTCATGATAAAAATCCTTTACTAAGTTGAAATAGATGGTCTTTATCTCAACCTGATGAAGGCTATTTAGGAAAAAGCAATAGCCAACATCATATTACCTGGTTAAAAACTGAAAATGTTCACACTAAAATCAGGAACAAGACAAGGATGTCCACTGTCACCCCTCCTGTTCAATACAGCTTTGAAAACCCTAGCCACAGCAATTAGAAAAGAGAAAGAAATAAAAGCAATCAAAGTAGGAAAGGAAGAAATTATATTCTCATTATTTGATGATGACATTATACTCTACACAGAAGAACCAAAAAAATTATACGAAAAGACTTCTAAACTTTATTGATAGATTTAGAGTAGAGTAGCTGGATACAAGGTAAACACTGAAAAATCAATAGCCTTCTTGTACACAAATAAAAGAATCACTGAGAGAGAAATTAGGGAACTAGTCACTTCCTCATGAGCATACAAAAAATGAAATATATAGGAATCATTCTAATGAATGAACTAAAAGGCCTATGCATTTAGCACTGTTACATTCTGAAAAAAGAGATCAAAGAGGATATAAGAAAATGGAATGACATCCTATGTTTCCGGGAGGGAAAACTAATATAGTGTAAAAGACCATACTTCCAAAATTGCTATACAGATTTAATGTAATCCCTATTAAAATCCCAATAGCATATTTCATAGAACTGGAGAAAACAATCCAAAATTTCATTTGGAACCAGAAGAGACCTAGAATAGCAAAAATAGTTATAGGCAACAGAGACATTACGGGTGGCATCAAAAATCCCCAACTTGACAGTATACTACAAAGCCACTGTGATAAAGGGAACATGGTACTGGAAAAGAAACAGAACTGAAGATCAGTGGAATAGATTAGAAGATGCAGAAACAACTCCACACATAGTTGCATTATCTTTGACAAAGGTGTTAACCATCCTCACTTGAGGAAAGATAGCCTCTTTAACAAGTGGTGTTGCAAAAACTGGATTCAGGGTCAGGGATTTAGCTCAGCGGTTTGGTGGCCTGCCTTGCAAGTGCAAGGACCCGAGTTCAATCCCTAGTACCAAAAAACAAACAAACAAACAAACAATACCGGATTCCACCTGCCAAAGATTAAAACTAGACCTCTATCTTTCACCATCACTAAGCTAAAACCCAAGTGGATTAAAGATCTAAATATTAAAACAGAAACATTAAACATGTTGGAAGATAAGTTAGGTAGAACACTCAAAGACATTAGCATAGGAAAAGTCTTTATGAACAAGCACCAAGAATCAACACCTGGAATCTCATCTTTTTAAAAAGCTTCTGCACTGCAGGAAAAACTACCAACATAACTAAGAGACAACCTACAATGTGGATAATTTTTTTTACCAGCTCTTCCTCAGACAAAGGTCCACTATCCAGAATATATAAAAAACTCAAATAAATCAGACCACCCAAATTTAAAAAACCAATTGAAAGTGGACATCTAAAATGAACAGACATTTCTCAAACAAAGAAAAAAAAGCAGCAAATAAACATTTGAAAAAAAAGGTTCATCATCACTGGTCACTCAAGAGACACAGATGAAAGCAGCACTGAGATTCTACCTCACCCCAGAAAGAATGGCTGCTATCAAGAAATCAACCTATGCTGGTGGGGCTGTGGGAGAAAGGAACCCTTCTCCATTGTTGTTGGGAGTGCAGACTGGTGAAGCCACTGTGGAAATCAATATGGAAATACCTCAAATAACTAGGATTAGAAGTCCCAATTGATCCAGCCATCCCTCTGCTGGGTACCTTTCTAAAAGAATTTCAAAAATCATACCACAGTGATATATGCTCAAACATGTTTATAGCGGCAGTTTGTAATAGCTAAAGCTTGGAAACAGCATAATTTCACATCAATTGGAGACTGGATAAAGAGGATTTTAAAAAATAAATTGGAGTACCTCTCAACCATAAAGAATGGGAAATAAGAGACATTCATAGCTAAATGGATGCACATTGAAGCCATACTCGTAAGCAAAATTAATAGAACACACATTTGTAAATAGTTTCTCTGGTGTGATAAACTAAAAGTATAAATAAGAATCAAAATGTATAGTTGGTATTGTGTAATAAGAAAAAAAATGTCCAAATATGTAGGGGGAAAAGAGAGGTGTAGGTGAGTGGAAAGAAGGGGAAAAGAAAAAAATTTAAGAAAAGGTAAAAATGGAAACAAAGTCATTGCAAATAAATAGGGAAGGGTCTAGGGTGTGAGTGGAGGCCAGGGAAGTGGGGAAAAAAACTGGGTACCAAGATAAATCATGTAGAGATACCAGATCCCATTGAGGAATGTAACACTATTTTATACTAAAAATGTACCAATAAAGGGAAAAAGTATAGATTGCTAGAAAATACTAATCAAATAGAGAGGGTTAAATTTTAATATTAAGGTGTGAAGATTTATCACACCATAGTTTAACCAAAGAACAAATATGTTTTTCCGTTGCTTATGCCCATGAAGGTAAAGAAATTGGTTCTCTTCATTGATATAAACTTAGTACACACAGTAGAAACATATATACAAGAGCAAATTTTGATAAATATTTGTTGAGAAAATGAATGAATTAATAATTTAATAAGTGCCAATATACATATACATACTTCTTTTTTCCCTCAAGTATTAGAATTTCTTGACTTGTATATCAAAGAAAATGTTATTTTTTAACATTTATATTAATTCTTGAACAAATAAAACTTTAATTTTGGTTGATTTATCCAGGACTTTTTTTGACATTTCTTAATATCAAGACTAATGTCTGAAAGGAGGAAGATTTATTATACATATTTGAGAACAACTACTTATAGAAAAACATTTAACTTCAACTTAGCGATTGCTTTAAGAAAGTTCTGGAAAAAGTGATTGCATTAGCTTTGCTGAAATTAAAAAAAATCTCAAATGTCTCATTAACTTGAAATATGAAAGGTTATTCCTTATACCAGTCATTTCATGGCTGCCACGTGGTCCCAGCTCTAGACAGGAGGTGGGCATTAGAGGTGCTCTCTGTTGTAGCATCCAGGGTGATGGAGCAGCCCATGTGGCACAGACTCAGGTTCAAGGGAAAGTACAGAACAAGAATACTAAAAAGTCTCCAGAAGCACTATTGGCATGTCCTTCGATTTGCTCTCATTTTCTTCACTGAAGACATGTCCACGTCTAACCAGAAAAATGCTCCTCCCACAGACCAGGTGAAAGGAAATACTTTTTAAACCTTAATGTAATCAAATCTCCAGGTCTTTTACAAGTATATAGCTTGATAATCAGAGATAATTATCCCTACTATATATTTGTTTTACAAATATTAATCTCTACCCAACAGATGTGTATTTCTGCAATCCAGTTGACAATGCCTCACATTCACAATAAAAATTAGAGCTTGGAGAGTTCAACCCTCTGAAAAATCCTTTAAATGCACTATTCTGGATATAGTATATTTTACCTCCTCCAAACTCTACTTTCTTTCACCCCGTTGTCTGTCTTGGGAAGCTGAATTTTAAGATTGCACCATTAAAATTCTGGGCCCCTCTTTTCTATTTTGCAGGAGATCTAAGGGAGCAAGGAGAGTGAAGTCAAGTTGACTGCTACCTTGGCTCTTTTCCACGAGATCCAATCAAGAGGGCTGCTTCTTGGAGTCAAACTAACTGGAAGGGTCTTCTTTCTTAACTCTCTGTCTTTGTAATGACACGTCTTCTTAATCTATGTCTACTGACTGTATAGCTGAGTCCCTACTTGCAATTTTTCCAGACAATAAATCTCCACTCAGTCTCTTGTCAAAGGCAGATGTGGGAGCCACCTGAGGATAATTTTCTGACTGCAAGGCATATGGGAAGGCAAACAATGTGTCATTATTCTTTGTTTATTTAACTAATCTTTTCCAATTATTTATTACCTCAAGTTTCTTTGCCTTCTTATAGTGCAATAGCAGCATTCCATTCATGCTTGTTGCTTATTTACCTCTGACCTGAAACAGACAGAAAGAAATACTTAAACCAAGAACTTCCCACTTTAATAAATAGAAAATAATTGCTTGGGATACTCACAGATGAGAGTGAAAAAGTATTATATTTATATGTTGTTAACTGGGAAGTTTTAGCCTCACATTCCATTATTTTTTATTAAGTTTATTGGTACATTTTAGGTGTACAATACAGTTACGTTCATCATTGGGATTCTGTACCTTTACATGATTTATCTTGATTCTTATTTTTCCCCATTTCCCTGGCCTTGTTTCACACACTCCTCCCTTCCCTTTCACAAACACATTATTTCCATGTTTTTTCTTTTTCACATACTTTTTCTTTCTCTTTTTACCTTTCCTCTACTCCTCCCACTTCCCCTACTGTTTTGGAATCTTTCTTCCTATTACACAATATCAATTATCCATTTTTTTAGGGGAGAGTGTGATCACAGTCCCCCACTGCCACAAATTATGCAGTTGAGTTTCCTGCAGTTGGGGAAATCACAGAGTTTAGCTCATCCAGCGTGCAATGGATAAGACTTGCCCAAGGAAAACTATGTTCATGATCATGGTATCTCCCCTGCCAGTTAAGTATTCAATAATAAATTTTTAATCCTTATGATACTTTTGGTTTTTTACACCATAGAAACTATTCAGTATTTACACATGTATGTCCTATTAATTTCACTTAATACTATGGCCTCAATGTATATCCATTTAGTTAAAAATATCTCTAGTTTCTCATTCTTTATAGCTGAGTAGTACTCCACTTTATAAAAAATCCACATCTTCTTTATCCAATCTCCAGGTCATGGGCAATTAGGCTGTTTCCAAGTTTTAGCTATTACAGACCATGCCACTATAAACATGGGTGAGCATATATCACTGTAGTATGTTTTTTTAAATTCTTTTGGGAAGGTACCCAGCAGAGGGATGGCTGGATCAATTGGAAATTCTAATCCTAGTTCTTTGAGATATCTCCATATTGATTTCCACAGTGGTTGCATTGTTCTGCCCTCCCACCAACAATGAAGAAGAGTTCCTTTCTTCCCACAACTTCACCAGCATATGTTATTGGTTGATTTCTTGATAGCAGCTATTCTTTCTGGGGTGAGGTGGAATCTCAGTGCTGTTTTCATCTGCATTTCTTGAGTAACCAGTGATTTTGAACATTTTTTCATACCTTTATTTGCTGCTTTTACTTCTTTGTTTGAGAAATGTCTGTTCATTTTAGATGGCTATTTTAAATTGGGTCTTTATGTTTTGGTGGTCTGATTTTTTTGACTTCTTTATATATTCTAGATAGTAGACCTTTGGCTAAGGAACACCTGATAAATTTTTCCCCACATTGTAGGTTGTCTCTTAGTTCTGTTGGTGGTCTTTTCCTATGTTAATGTTTTCAAGGGTGCTACCTAATTTAACTTGCAGCAAGTTCAGTGTTTCTGTTTTAATATTTAGATCTTTAATCCACTTGGACTTTAGTGTAGTGCATGGTGAAAGATAGGGGTCTAGTTGTAATCTTTGGCAAGTTGATATCCATTTTTCCCAATACCATTTATTAAAGAGGTTTCTCTTTCCTCCATCGAGGATGGTTGGCTCCTTTGTCAAAGATGAGGTAACTGAGCATAACTCGATGTTTTTCTGCATCTTCTAATCTATTTCACTGATCTTCAGGTGTGTTTATTTCCCAGTACTATGCTAGATATTTAAAGACCTTCCTCTTGTTCATAATATGCTTTGAAATCTAGTGACAAAACTGAATCATAACGTCATACTTAGTATTTATTTCATATATAAAATAAAGAGTTTCTTAAACAAGTTCTTCCTGTTTTGCAATAGCTGCTGTTACCACGAAAGGTGACTAAGAAGATGATAGATGTACCCACCTGTCCCTGGGTGGTACAGACATCATTTAGGGAGCAGAAAGTGCTCTGGCTTTTCTTGGGTGCTCCCCATTTTTCCTTTTCTTAGGGAGGGGAACTTGGTCTTGCTTGTCTAACTTTTCCTTGCAGTTGTGCAGGTACAAGTAAATCACTTTAGTTAGAGGATTCTACTATGAACATTGGAGCTATGAAACAGAATCTGTTTTTGCTTCACTTTTATAGTTGAAATCAGTAGAGAATAACGTCCAATAAAGGGTCTTCACTTACTAAACAAAATGATGATAGCAATGATTCCAGATGCTGAACTTAATATATTCCATGGACTCCTTATTTCATCCTGTTTACTGCTAACCACTAAACAACCTAATGCCTTCCCTTAGCCTTCTAGATTTAAAAATTCAGTGGAATTTGTGAACTTTGCCAACAGTTCTACACAGCTCATTTAACCTCATCTTTTGCTTTCCATCTCACATGAGATGATTTTATCTCAGTTGACTGAAGGAGAACAGAGTGGGGCTTGGGTAAGTCAATTTCTAGAAACATAATCAGTCCCTCCATTTCCTCAAGGCAGAATTTAGTAAAGTCATTTATCAAGTACACCTTTTAAATAATACTAAAACCATCAATGGAAATATTAGAGAATTAAAAATGAAAACTCCTAGAATGGATATTTTAATATAATAAAGAAATAATTGGGAACTTTAAACTCTGTATTTATTAGAAAGACACAAGATTATTTTTCACACTTAAAACTGTGTTGAGGTATTTTGCTTTATTATTTTTTGATTATTTTTAATTCTGGAAATAATTTTAAATGCTATTAATCTTTGATTTTTTAAATATGTTTGTTCACTTCAAATGAACATGTTTTTACTTTCTGCTGGCAGGCTGAGTTCCAAGAATATCTGTATTTGAGAAGGTGAAAATGAGATATAAACAAAGATACATTATTTTTTTGTGAATCTCTCCAGTGTTTCCTAATGTTCATATAGATCAGTGATGGCAAACGTCTTACAGCTTTCAGTGATAGGGGTCAGTTGTGGCATGCATGCCACAGATTCACTACCACTGATAGATACAAGATAAATATATTTGGTACTGCAGTTGCTTTCCTTTTGTTTTTAAAATACCCCAGGTATTTGGAATATTTTACACTACATTACTTACACAATTTTACTTATTAAAGCAGAACCACTCCATTGAAAAGATCTTTATATTTCTAGAAATTCATTACTTTCTAAAAGACTCAATGAGATTTGAATTATTTTTTCAAACATACCTCCCTATTATCATTGCAGTGAATCACTAATTGATCTCCTCTTTTACTTACCCATTTCTTTTGTGCCTTCAGTTTCTAAGAAATTCGCAGTATTACAGAAGTTCAGCATAGTTTATGGCAAGGATGTGAATGTTTCCTCTTGAATTTTAATCATAAATGTAAAAGGCTAAATTAAAATAAAATATGTTAAACTAAATAAGTACAGTATAGTTAATATAGTCAGGATAATAGTTGTTCATTTTTTTCAATGGTTACATATTTTGCAACTATTATTTTTGCAATAAACATATAAATATCCTCAGATAAAAATAAACTTACCTGAACTTTATAAGCTAAAATATTAAGGGCTCTGAAATTACATTTTTATATCTGATGAAATGCAAATTTGTCAGCTATCACCATGGAAAAACTACTGTGGAAATTTAAAAAATTTTATTGAGTTTTTTGGTAGGTTTACATATACGTTATGATAGCATTCATCATTGAGAATTTATACCTGTTCATGATATATCTTGATTCTTATTTTTCCATTCCCCTGCCCTTCTTTCACCCCTCCATCACACAATACACATAAACGTTGTTTCCATTTTTTCCTTCTTTCAATTTTTTTCTTTCCATTCACCTGCTGTCTCTCCCTATTTCACCTCTCACTTTAAATATTCTTTGTTTTCACAATATCTACTAAATATTTTGGCCCTCATTGACACTTTCAGTTTCTCACACCAGAGAAATGATTTGATATTTACAAACCTTTGCCCTTTTTATTTCACTTATGAGTATGGCCTCAAGGTGTACCCACATAAATGTCTCAAGTTTCTCTTTCTTTATGGGCAAGTGGAACTCCATTTTATTTTTTTAAAAAAACCCATATCTTCTTTATCCACTCACCAGTCAATGGGCTTTTTGGATGCTTCCAAGATTTAGCTATTACAGTTGTAACACTATAAACATAGGTGTTCATATGTCATCATGGTATTATGCTTTTAACTCTTTTGGGAACATTGCAGTTTAACTTCTTCCTTTCCTATCTTTATTTGTTTTATTTCTTTCTCTTGTCCAATTGCTGTGGGTAATGTTTCCACTAATATATTGAGCAGAACTGGTGATACTGGACATTTTTGTCTTGTTCCTACTTTTATTGTAAAGTATTTCTGTTTTTGACCATTCAGTATGATGTTGGCAATTAGATTTTCATAGAGAGCTTTTATTACATTGAGATTTAGGCCTTCTATTCCATTTTTATGTAGGGATTTTATCATGAATGGGTGTTGGATTTTGGCAAATGCTTTTTCTACACCTATGGAGGTGATCATATTGTTTTATCCTTGACTCTATTAATATACTGTATTACATTTATTGATTTATTTATGTTGAACCATCCTTACATCCCTGGGATGAGTAGGACTTTGTCAGAGGGTACAGTCTCATTGATGATCCTCTTTATTCTGTTTGCTAGTATCTTATTGAGGATTTTTGCATCTATGTTCATTAGTGAGATTGGCCTGTATTCTTTTTTTTTTTTGGTTGTCTTTCTCTCTTTACAGAATCAAAGTAGTACTTGCTTCCAGGAATGAATTTGAGAATATTGCTTCCATTTCAATTTTATTAAAGAGTTTCAGAAGTAATGCCATTAGCTCTTCCCTAAATTTCTTATAGAATTCATCAATGAAGGCATCAATAGCAGGGCTTTCCTTTGTTGGTAAGTTTTTAATTACATTTTCCACTTTACTGATTGATATTAGGTGTTTAGAATTTTTATATCTTCTTCATTCCACTTTGGTAATTCATATGTTTATAGGAATCTGTCTGTTTCTTCTGTTTTCCATTTTATTGGACACAGGTTTTTCAAGTAGGTGTTGATGATCCTCTAGATTTCTGCTGGATCTGTTTTGATTTCACACTTTTCATTCCTAAATTTAAAAAATTTAATGATTTTCTTTCCTTTCTTGATAAGGTTGGCTAAGGGTTTGTCAATTTTTTTTATTCTTTCAAAGAACGAACTTTTCAATTTGTTAATTTTTTATAACATTCTCTTAGTCTCCATTGCATTGATTTCTGATCTGACGTTCATAATTGCCTTCCTTGTATGAGCTTTGGATTTGTTTTGCTCTTCCTTTTCTAGGTGTTTGAAACTTAGCAGTAGATCATTCACTTCATCTTTCTTTTTTTCCTAATATGGGAATTCACTGATATGGATTTCCTTCACAGAACTGCTTTCATTCCCATAAATTACTGTATGTTGTTTTGGCATTATCATTTAATTGCAGAAACTATCCAATTTCTCCTCTAGATTCTACTTTGACCCGTTGGTTGTTCAGGAGGGTGTTATTGAATCTCCCTGTGTTTGTGGATTTCTTTTAGTTTCTTTTGTTATTTATCTCCAATTTACTTGCACTATGATCTGATAATATACATGGGATAACTTCAATTCCT